TTTTTAAATGGAGGAAATCATCAGAGATCATTATCAACTCAACGTTATTACACAGTAAGTAAAATTGTTGGTTACCTGAACTTATATATGAATAAAATTTCTTTCTGTTATAACTTATGGCCTGTGTGCCCTGTTAATGTATAACGTAAGGATACCGCTAATTAGAGAGCAGTACAATGACGCCAAAAATCCGTACGAGCAGTCTGGAGTACTTATCGGCTCCGCTTCCCGCTTAGTCCAGCCAGTTAAGTCCAGAACACTAATCTCAGCCTCTGCGATATGAATCGTTTGTTTCAAACATGCTGGGTTTATATACCAACCAAACAGACCACATCGTACCATAAAATTCAAAACAACTTTGTACAAGAATTAGCCAAATGTGGCTGTGAATGAGGGAGGTAGTAATTGATAGACAGGGCATAATTCAAGAATGGCAAATCGTTTAATAATAGTTCATAGGTCAAAATAAAGCTCATAATCAGAGGGACATGAAAATGTATAGTTTAGTTATTTAACAATTATACGATAAAAATATACGCATCATATTGGTCCATAAATGGATCCCAAAAGATACCATTCATTATTCTTATCGGGATATAACACTTTCGTCTAACTTCCGAAAAGTAAAATTCAGATCAGATAGATAACAAGGATTGTATAATGTTTATGCTTTCTTGAGAAAAAGATAAAGAACAGAAGACATTATATACTGACTTATATTTGGATTTCATTCCAGGCAGAGGATTTTCAAACTAAGTCGATGTTTTTGTTCTATTCTCTATAATTTTTTAAAATTGTTATTTAACATTTATTATTCTATGAATAAGATTAATTTCAAATCGGAAAATATCGACATTTCTTTCGGGTATGTTTATTACTTATTGGAAGTTTTCCTAGACCAAACTCTTAAGTCTATGAATAGTAAAACTTGAAATATTCTGGAAATGATAGATCCTCAAAGCTCACTTAGTAAACATTTATTTTTGTAATTTTATTTCGGAAATTTGAATTTCTTGTTTTCGCGCCAAAAGCGCCCATTTTCACCTTCATATCGTATTTCCCACCTGGCAGGAACTTAAATGTCATTGGTTCGTTGTCTCTTCTAATATACTATTTTGTGATGTTTTCCAAGGACATTTCTATGCTGTATATACACGCTTGAGTTGTGTGCTTTTGGTTACTTGTGGAATATACTCTCCCTCTTCTAAATCTGTTAGCTTATTCGGTCATTGTGTCACTGAGTCTTCGTCCTGTTCGCCGATTTATTTATTTTGTTTATTTGAACACATAAATATTGGTACAAAGGTGCACCAAATACATATGCACCATATAAGTCACTTGATTTGCGTGTGGGTTGTGATACTGGTCAGGTGCCCAGACCGAGGCAGGTGCTTTCCTTAGGTTGCTACACTTTTTGACCTAACGTTCTGATCCACAAGTCAGTGAAGCGACTTTAAAAGATACAGTCTCATGATAACCAGAGACTAACGATTGGTTCCCTCAGGATCTTAGATCCCATGTACACCACTGGTTTAGAATCAAGGTTTTCCAACTCCCCTAGGTAGGTCCTCTATATTCACCCGATATAGGTGACCGCATAATCTCTTGAAACACAGAAAATATCACAGTGTTAAAGAAATATTAGTATAATTCACCACAAAATTATGTCTTATCTATGATATGAAGAATTCCTTCTGAATGCAATGACGTATAAACAGATAACATTTTGATTATTTCTTTATAATTTCTATTATACAGAATAAAAATGAAAATCATCTAAACAATGATTTAGATTATGTACTAACTCATTGTCCTTCTTCATCATTAGACAGTATTATATTTAGACAAGACAATGGAAATAAACAATTATTTATGCATAAATCATATTCAAATACTTATTCATCAAACATGGGCAAATACTCTACTAGAAATAATTTTACAGAAATAACAAATAAAAATTATTTTCCATCACTTGCATTTGATATTCCTAAACCGCCAAAATATATAAAAGGTAATGGTGAACCACATCGTGTTATTATTGGTACATTAGAATTTAAACCAAAATTACAATATATAACAATACCGAAACAAACACCAAAAGCTTTTCTACGTGTTACAATGCATAATATATCAGAATATGCATTGTTAGAAGGTCAAGCAAGTGTATATATTGATAGTAATTTTATTGGAAAAGTGAGTAGTTTAATGCATTTCTTGGTTTTGTTCTTTTTATGTACTGTATTTATATGTCAATGACGTAATTAGGCTTAGTGCGCCACTTTATAGTCCTCTCCCTCCCCCCTCTTTCTCTCTCTCTCGCTATGTATATATATATATATATATATATATATATATATATATATATATATATATATATAGTCATACATTGTCATTGGTTAATGGGGTTCGCCTGACATGACGAATAATAAAAATTAATGTGAAATACAAGAGAGAAAAGATGGTGGTTAGAGGTAGTCAACAAAAAATCCTGGACCCTAGGTTTCGTGCGATTTGGCACTCTAGAACAGCATATATAAGCGAATAATATTGTCTTCGATTAAATCCTCATCAGACTTTACTCTAATATACAGTAATATTTATATGCATATACGAAATTATTAAACCAATCAAGGTAGTTTATGAGTCAATGATAACAGTTGGATAAACTACATAAATGAACATAATAGGTGAAAAATTGTAAATTGGTAGTGTGATGACAGGTATACTAGTTGTGATAAGAACAATAAATGCTTAAGTCAACGTTACATAATCGGAAATGGGTCAATGATTAGAAAAATATAGACACTGAAATACGATTCATAAAAATTATAAGATTACGTAATAAGAGGTGTTAAGACAATTGAACCGTGAAGCGAATATTTGAGAAAAGAAAAGGGTGGAAGTGAACAAAAATAAACGAAGAAAGAGTGTGGAAAATAATTAGGCACTCATCAGCAAGGTTGTATGTCTCGTCTGAATTAAATTGGTTTAAATGGAGCTGTTAACTGTTTTGACTACACCTTTGCTTAACTATACTGGGAGGTGCTCATGAGTGAAATTAATAGTAAATTTCTCAGTTTTTTTTCATATATATATGCCACTATTAACCTTCTTGTCAGATGAATTTCTGCACCAAAAATATAACTGAACAGAATCTGTCGGAATAAATACGTAGTGTTTGTATTAGTTCACATATTCATAGATATTCATTATTGTAAGCGAAAAACAAACTCATCTGTTGAACTCATTAAAACAAAACAAAAATGAAATGACACCGAAAAAGGTATTTACCATGAAGTGCTTTCGTAGTGAAGTTATAGATTTAAATATAGTTTTTTTTCAAAATAATTAATTAATATCTAGTTCAGTTGAGCTGTGATGATTGGAGTGCAATCCGTGTGAAGTGGAGATATTAATCTACTTCAGACAATGAATGAAGTGTTGCACAAAATCATGGATAGATTGAAGTTAGAAATTATCAAGGTCAGATATCGACTCAGTGGTCTAGAGGTCAAGTGTTCGCGCACAAGACTGAATGTTGTAGGCTCAAGTCTCATATGTGGCATCGTGGATGCTCACTACGGAGAAGTCCCATGCTAGAACGAAATAGCCGTCCAGTGCTTTCAGGTTTTCCATGGTGGTCTAGCCTCAATTGATTCATGAATTCAACTACTAAATTACTGTAATATCCACAAAATCTCTTCCCTGATAATAAATATAATAGTCAGTGATACATAATTTCAAATGAAAGGTATCTAATATGACTGATAATCGTGATTTTTAAGTAGAAAAATATAATAATAATAACAATAAAAAAAAGGAACAAACATCAGAGCAAAATATGCATACACAAACCGAATGATAAAAAGAAAGGTCCAACATGTTACTTTTATAAACATAACTTTGGTTTTAAATTATGGACAGATAAACCTTTACCACACTGTTAGGTTGGTTCAGAAGGTTAACTTCTTGACCAGATTCGAGATTGAATGTTTGAATCAACTTTATGTTCCTAAATAAAGAATTTAATAGATTTACTTTAGCCTGTATTAATCCATTTAAAGAGATGTCATCCAATATGAATGAAATAAAGCTTCGATTCGGAATCTATGCACATAGCTCCACATAAGAAGATAGACATGTAATTGGTCATCCTAGCAATGTGTATTTACAGATCCTCTGATGAGAAACTCTTACTTATGATATAAATTATTGTGAGCAGATTTACATCGGGAATCATATCAATATTTGACAGAAACGTATCAATATTATTAGATACTGATAAACCATAAATAATTGTTACGATACTCTATAATATTGGGATGAGATGGTGGTTGAAGTTAGTCGACAGGAAACCCTGGACCTAGGTTTCGTGCTATTTAGCACTCGTCAGTAAGGTGTACCTGTAATCTTGAGGTCACCGGTTAGTGATCAGTCCCACAGGAGTTCATTCATGGCCCGGATCGCTCTGACTGTGAAGTTGGGTGACACGGGACCGAATCCGTCAGGGAGAATCAGTTTCTTCAATATTACAGGTACACCTTCCTGACGAGTGCCAAATAGCACGAAACCTAGGGTCCAGGGTTTCCTGTTGACTACCTCCAACCACCATCTCATCTCAACATAGTGCACACAGTGTCAAGTCAACTGGACTAGTGGTCAGTAGGATTCGATCTGAACTAAGAAAGACTTGACGCACATGACATTGATCACTACGCAGTGATCAATCAGTTATAAGCTCTATCTTTGTGTTTTTTATCTAATAGTTAATTATTAAATTACTGACAATCGGTGTATTACTTTCCCTATATTTCCTAGACAAAATTATCTGCTACAGCTGTTCAAGAAGAATTCACATGTGAATTAGGCTATGATCCTGGTATACGTGTCACATATATGCCAAAACATAAATACAAAAAACTGGAACATTTCTTGGTAATAAAACCATGTCTATAGTATTTAAACAAGTTATATCAGTAGAAAATAGTTATCCAAGAAGTATGAAACTTTTAGTGATCGATCAACTGCCAGTCAGTACAGAGGATAAATTGAAGGTAAGCAGTTTTATTATTCAACCTTTCATTTTTACCTTAATTCATATATTTACTGTTGCAAGTTTGAGGATAAATTAAATTGTATTGAACTAAATACTTCATTATTGTTTCCAGGAATCTTTACCATAGAGGATATCATGATTATTGACTGAATTTGAACAGCAACATGATATATGGAACTGATCATTATATTTTAAGTGAAACTGGATTCAGATTGTGTTAAGTTATGAACTACTTGAATTTATACTGACTGGTCTAAATCATATTACGCTGACTGGGTAATTGGAATGTGTTATGTTCGTTTGAGTTTAAAGTTGTAGGAGTGCTCATTCCATGAAGGCCTACTCTGATTGCTTTGAGGTGGACGGGGGTGAGAAGTTCTCCCTCTCGAAATGCTCTCACATGGTCTCGCGTATACAGCCACTTCCAGCCAAGTCTTACTCATAGTTTTCTTGCAGCAGCGTTGTTGTTTACGAAACTGAGAAGAGAAATGCTAATGTCCGGTGCTTAAACCGAGTTGGAGGGTATAGACAATCCACCTAGGGAAGTTAGAAAACCCTGATTCCAAACCAAATGGTGTACATGTGCTCCAGGAGTCTGAACGAACAACTGGCGTATGAACATATTGTTGGTCACTGGCTACTATGGGACTAGATCTCCTAATGTTAATCCACTTTCTTGTGGAGGAGAGTGGCTTCGGTTTGAGGATCCGGACAGTATCTCAGCCAACACAAAAATATCATAGTTATTACTTTGCGTGGTGCATATATATTTCGGTCCTCATTTGTACTAATGTTTATGTGTTTAAATAGATAGACTTGCCTAGGAGTCCTATACTAAGTATAACACATTAGAGAGTTTGTTTAAAATAAGCTTCTTAAATGATTGATTTAGTTTATCTAATTTTTATTTTCGTATCAACAAGATTCATCTTATTGAACCATTAATTAAAAATCCAGAAAAATATGATCCAACAAAACCGATAAGAATAAGTAAAACAAAATCAATTGAATGGGATATTGAACTTGCTCCATGTAAGTTAATTACTATACAATAAATAATTGACTCTTGTTTCAATTCATTGAAATAATCAAATAATTATTAGATACAATTTAAATTGTAACCGATTTACTTGTATTGAAAATAAAGTTTGTAAGAGAAAAGTGATATCTTCAGGAGAAAACTATCTTGGTGATGGTAAATTCTATATTACTTTATAGCAGATGATCTAATGCATAGATTCTCATTTTCCAAATGTAATATATGAATCGTTTGAGAGAATAAACACAGACACTTTCCCTAGTTGGTGGGTTAGATGGTTGTAAAAAGAATTTTCGGAACAATACATATAAGTGAGTTATAGTGTTTTCAATGCCCCAGGGAATTTAATTCACTTTTGCACTCAATCTGACATGTGAATTTTTTTTATTTATATGAAATATGTCACATTGAGACTTATTTGTAATTCTCATGTAAGCGAACTGTAACTTTAGGAACGTTCATCTAGGTAAACCTCCTTGAAAGCAATGCAATACAGTTGAAACTTTTTCAGAAAGCTCAAAAATTAAAATAAACTTCCGATTTAGAGCATCTGAAACTCAGAAAGTTCTACACAGATGTTTTTCTAATTGTTAAGTCTCCTTAACATTGAATAATCTCGAAATTATACTCTTTTTGGTCACGCCACGACCGTGATAATATTCAGCCACTAGGTGCGAATACAATAAGAATTTTTGTATTATTCAGACGACACACCTGACAGATGCAGAAGACAGTGTGTGCCACGATAATACCTATAGTGAATGTGTAGTGAGAACAGGTCAAAATGACTGAAATTCCACGCATATGTTCTAGGAACTTTACTTAAATGAACAGTTACTTTATGTATATCATATGACTCAATGAACACTGTACAATATATTAGTTGAATTCATTGAGTCAATTGAATCCAGACCACCATGGAAAACCTGGATGACTCTTTCGTCCTAGTATGGGACTTCTCAGCAGTGCGCATCCAAGATCTCACCCCGCAGGATTCGAACCCAGGAGCTATTAGTCTCGAGAGCGAACGTCTAACCCGTAGACCACTGAGCTGACATCCTATTGATTCATGAATTCAACTACCAAATTACTATAAAACTCTCTGATTGTACAATTTACTGAACGTTTTACTTTTCTCAAATATTATGTGTAAAATAAACACATTTCAAATAGTAAAATAGTTCCACAAGACACATCTAATGATTGGTATACTTTTTTCTTTCACAGATGAATCACGTGAACTAGTTTTAAAATACCTTGTCGAACATCCATCTATTAAAGATATTGACATTTCAACACTGGGAATATGATAATGTAAATGAGAAGAAGGGAGTAATGTAATAATAATCATATAAACAAATAAAATACCATCTAGAAACTGTTTTGCAAAATTTTTTCTTACACTGAACAGTATGTTCTAACTAAAACAATACAACAACTTTTATTAAACTTATTTGAATTTATCAATGGGCATTTTTATGAAATCCCTATCTTAATACTATCTAGTGGTGATAAATGACAAGTTATTTAATCGTTATATATTAACGTTGATAGTATACACTAGTTTTTCTTTTGTATAGAAAGAATTATTTATTGCCATTTTTATTGCTTATATTATACAAATGCTTTTTTTAATGTGTTGTGAAAACACCGCTTACTTTACAGTGGATACATATATACAGTTGTATTGTAATCTGTGGTTAAGTGAACAGACATTACAATGTCTATTGGTTGATGTTCAATATTCACAAACAAATAGTAATAAGTTCATTTTTGTATTACTTGTTTGAATCGTTCCATTGATGTTTAAGACTGCAATTGGCATATGTGAATCTTGTACGGATTGCCTTGATACTGCATTTAGTCACAAGCATTATAAGATTGGAAAGATTGTGGCTAGCAATGGAATTCAGTTTGACGCGCGTTTCGTCCTATTTTTGGACTGGTCAGCTGAATATACCTTCATCCTAGAGTTGATGTTCACTCTGGAACTGTAATACTAGGTGCCATAAGTGTTTCTTGAAGTCGAATTTACACTTTACTGATGATTGCTAACAAAAATACATAATCGGGATCATTGAAAATAGCAACCTTCGTCATGTTATCCAGATCTTAGTAATGATTGAACTATACAGACCAAATGTGGAACGTGATTATTAGACTAAGTGAATTCGTAATTTGCTTAATGGTTAGAGTAAGTCGCTCGTTGTCAATTTTCACAAGGCCTACCTAACTAGTTTGAATTCCAGAGATGGAGATATCAGTTTTGGATATGGATATATATATATATATATATATATATATATATATATATATATATATATATTACCTGGAGGTTCCTTAGCGTTTACGTTCAACAACCTGACACAAACCCGAGTCAGTTGCCTCTACTTTGACTCAGGTCATAAAATATATTCCAACTAATTAAGTTCACTAAGATTAAGTAAGTCATTGAATTCTGGAATAGAAGTAGACATAGTAGGTTAGTTTTCATGAAGACTGATCACTGTATTGAAATCAAAATATTTTAAGAATTTACCACAAGTTATATTATCCTACTCATATAAAATAATACATTGAATAATGTAATCAATATTCTGCACTTTTTCCAACTCCATAACATCGTTTATTAAAACTAACTGATATAATTATGTCTAAATTTGATCAAATAGTTTCACAGTATTTGAGCGTCGAGTTGATGTGAGTCATTAAAGAGGAGAATGTATCTTTAAAATCTCAACGAATGAATTTGAAGTAAATCCTAAGAAATACTTTTGTAGTTATAACAGCTGCTTTTTGTGAACGTGTCGAATTGTCTAGAGTCTTGACTCTTAACGTTCTTCGATAAACATGAAGGTTTAAACAACGTAGGTTGAAAATCCTATGGTTATACCAGTTGTACATTTTTTTCGATAATGATACATTTATGGTACATTTCTACAGAGACAGTTTAACATGAAAAAAAAATTAACTCATCTAAGTAAACAAATTTCCCAACTGTTTTGTTGTTGTTGTTTTCATTAAACACATAACTCATTCGTTTAAATATCCTAGTTTTAAGCAGTAAATTACTATTCACTTGGTATTGTTTTACTAAAATCTTCTCATTGATGTTTAGGACTGCAATTGATCAGTATCTTATTGGCATATGTGCATACTGTGCGTATTGCCTTAATTTATAAACATTATAAGCAAAGATGGATAGTAGCTAGTGGCTGACAAGTCCCAAATAGAACGAAACGCGCCACTATCCATCTTTGCTTAATAAATTACTATGTTTCAAAATATCCTCTCTAATTAGTATACTTTAAACAACCTAATAATGTCATTATCCTTTTTCAATTAACTAGCAACAAAATGTTTTCTGATTTTCAAAGAAAAACGAAAACAAACAGATTCATTTAATTCATTACTTCAATTCAATGAAACATGTAAACCTATTCGACAGAAAAAAAGTGAGTAGTTGCAGTGAGCGTATGATGAAGAGCTAAACAGATTAGGTTTCATCTTTGAATATAACTTTTACGGGGAAAAAAAAAGAAATCAGAGAAAATACAACACAATACAAGAATCGCACACACAAAATTAGAGTAAAAAAAGAGCACAATTAGGAAAAAGAAAAGAAAGAAATCAAAAAGAGAATAAAGGGAAACAGATATACAATACTAAAATAGATTTATAATGAAAATAATAATCCTTCCAATCAATGATATATCTGTTCCAAAGTGTACATTTATATATCATTATTTATCTTATTCAAAATTATATAGAATCATTGAATTGAATTTACAAATAATAATAACAATAGAAAAGTAATAATTATGCAATATCTACACACACACACACACACACACACACAAAGGATATTTATTTCAAAATGAAATGAAAACCAAAAGAATAAATTGCCAATTTTATATTCAAACTAAACCGAAACCTTCTGTTTGTTGAATAGCTAGTGATAATTTCTTAGCTAATATCTCTTTACAACTATATTGTGGTAAATCTAATAGATTAGCACATGTATGCGCTACAGGTAAAAAATCATCACCACTATTATTTGGTTGAATTGTAATCTATAAGAAAAAAGAAATAATAATAACAACCGTATATTGTATTGTGGGATAATATGAAATATGAGAATGTATGTATATACTAAAAGTATTAAAAACTCAGTATAATACAGTAAGGCCGTATTAAAAACTGATATGCATTAATTGATCTTAAGATTAAGCAACCGAATCGAAGCTTTTGTGAAAGAATTCTATATTACAATTAATTAAGATTCATGAATTAATAAGGGGTAATTATAAATAAATTAGAGCAGAAATTATGGTGACCTAACGCTTTAATGATTCGATTCATAAAGCATGATCTCCTGGAGTGAGTTATCTGAAATGGAGTTTTGAAATCGTACTAATATTTCATATTTGATATTTAAAATTTGATTGAAAGTGTTGTCACGGAGTGAACATTAAGAAAATCGTAACATGAAACTATTTTATGGAGAATTATTGTTTATATTTTTACTCGTCACAGCTCAAGATTTATTGTAGCGTGCTAGAGGTCAAAGCATTCTACGTTAGACTTTGGGAAAGAAATTATACCCGAAGTTGAGAGTTACAGATACAGTTTCTGATTTAGGCATCGTTTCTAGACGTAGATTAGAAATTGTAGTAAAATCAGCTCTGTGATGGAGGGCTCTTGAGAATTCATCAAAGTTTTTAGAAGCTCGCAAAAGGCCGAAGACACTATTCAATCAAAAAATAATAGACGTCTCGCAGGGGAATACGGGTAATAATGTGTCAAATTCTGATTGTACACTTTTCAAAAGTCAAGAAGCTTAACAAAACTAATATTTTGCATAAAGGAGACAGAATATGGCTAGCAACGGAACCAGGGCCGCGGATTTCCTTCTGTTTGGAATTCGTTAGTTGAATATACCTAGTGTTTCTTTTGGCATTCGGTCTCAGTCCCTTTTGCTTCAAACGATAACATTTTATCCTACTTGACTAATGGATTCAGACAGTCACTCATTTGTCGAGAACCTTTATACTACTAATAATTAACCATGTGCGCAGTAGTAACTAATTTCAATAAGTAATTTCCAGATTTCTAGAGGAAAACTGGAACCAATGGAGTTCAGCCATGTCGGGTGTGAAGCGATTTCTTACCAACAGAACTGGAAGATGATTACGTAGCGTTACTGTTTGACTGAGGTTAGAAATGTAAACCCTTGGATACCGATTCTGTAAACAAGGGGTTAAATGCCTAGCGTTAGGTCCGAAGGTCCTGAAGTATATAGCATTAAATAATGCTATCAAACAAAATAAATTACTAGAATATAATAGAAATGTAAACTAGTAACCATGAAATCCATAATTTGACCTTCTGGTTATATGTTTTACACTGAAATATATTGCTTTATCGATATGAAGAGAGATATGCCAAGTTTTACTTTCTTCTAAAATAATGAGAAACTATGTGTATCGGATATGACAAAATAAAAATTAAAAATTTGGAAAACATACTTAGAAATAACATTCAGGTTTAGAATTAAAATTACATCTAATAAGTTATCATATTCTACACAATACACTGACCTTTACACCACTAAAACCAACAATTGGTACACGATCACAACCAGTAAGAAAACGTAAAAATTTCTTTTTCTCTTCAATAGTAAAATCATACAATAATACATCCCAGAACCATATAATCACTTGATGTCGATCCCAGTAGACACCTTGATATGTTGTATTCTGACGAAGTTCATCCCAGTTTACGACTTCTGAACCGACAACTAAAGACTATAGTATAGAATAGAATAAAAAATGTTAGCAAAAACAGTTTATTAGATTGAATGAAAATGATAAATAAAAATTGTGTAACAGATGTCTGAATCAATTTCTTAAAGAAAAAAACCCAATTGTAGATGAATTTTTATTTGATATCACGTCATCACAAGCTTATGGTTACTGCAAAATATTAGTGTTTATTACATTACTTTGTAGTAAACTTAAGCAGAACAAATAGAGACTTCTTAGTAAACGTATACACCATTTATGTAATCGGCCTCAAGTCATACTTTAAATCTGAATGCTAGTGATATTATCTGGCTATCACAATCGAAGTACATGGAGCACGACTTCACAACCTGAGATTTATTGATTGAAAGTAGAATGAATGAACTTCTAAACTGACGATTTATCAGATTAGATATGAAATATTAGTACTACGATATATTAATATATAAATGAAGATAGAACCCATTATGAATAGAATAAAGATCAGAGGAGAAACAAACCTGTAATTCAGATGGTTGAAACAATTTTAATGAATAACCACCACAAACTTGAAGAAATCCTTTTTCAAACGCTTTATAAGGTGTTTCACATGATTTCTGAAATACATATTCAACATATTTTTCAACGTATAAACTTTTATTCTCTTGAGTGACAATTATATTTTCACCATCTTCCATCAGGGGGATAATTTTATTGACACCAAAATAATCAATTGTAACCTAGATGAATAAACAAATGGATAGGAACTATTAAGATTAATTAATGGTTTGTACCGAATAGTATATTTTATGATATTGAAAATCCATATAATATAATACAAATGTTTGCATAGCTCTCGAATTCTACTAGAAGGTTAGTTAGTATTTATTGACAACGAAATTTAATGTCAGACAGTTTAATAATACGTCTGAAATGGTCTGGGATAAAAGACTTACTATGATAGTTAAAAAAACAATAATAATATTTGAAACCGTAGTTATTATTAGAATTTAAGATGTGAGTTTCGTCTTGCAAGGAAATCATTATCTGAATATACCTGCACCTCTGTATTGATATTCTTACCCAATGTCAATAACTTTAAACCACAACGCGCTATTTACTAGGTTATTGAGTTATGCATGTTCTCGGTTGCGTTGTGGGCAAACGTTCAAAAACACAATTAGTTTCTAATTACACGCAATACCTAGGTGTTCTGTCGATGAACTTACCTGCTAACAGAGACTGGATGAAATCCAGTTCTGAACATTAAATAAACAAGAAAATATAAACGCTAATGAAATTGATTTTTGGGGACATCAATAACTTACAGTGAAATTCAAACAGAACACATCAGCCAAATCCGCATTATCATAATCCAGTAATTGTTGTAAAGAACGACCAACAATTGGATCCAATTCTTTTAGATCATCTAATCCCGGTGTTTCACCTAGCAATTTACGAAACATCGCTAGTGGAAAACTTAAATCGACAATAATGGAATTGTAAATAGCTAAACCACATAGAATACCGACCATTAGGAAGACATTTTCACTTTCCATTGTCTGAAGAGAAATCATAAAAGAAGAGTGTTAAGAAAAAAAAATCAGTAGACAAACCAACAAACTATTCACTAACACAAATCCATCCGTTTTATGCAATATATAATTATAGTCAACAAACGCATATGATTTCTAAATGATATAATTGAACAGTGATTGAATAAACAATAGTGAACAGTTTCACAATTCAGAATTCACTGCATAAAATAGAATGTTGAGGTTTGTGCAACTGTGTGTAATTCCAATTTGTCTAAACAAACATGAGAACAAAGTATACTGAAAATATGTCAACTAAAAATTAAGACCAATGCAAAATGAATATGTTAGAAATTAGTTTGAATGGTACATCAATCTCAACGACAGAAAGCTGTATATGAGACGTCACAAAATACTGTGTAAGGATTATGCATATTAAGACTTAGTGAACTAAGTGTATTACTGTTAACAAGTTGTGAAACGAATAAGCAACTAGAGTTCCTCTCTGACGAAAAATTACACTCGATGCTGTTTAGGCATGTAATTCAATTATCAATAAATACAGTAATAATGTAACTCATTTACTAAAAATGATTTATATACTTGACTTGAAGCCACATTGTTTAATGAAATAGATAAAGCGCAATCTAAACATACAATTTATTCATTGATAACCGAACGCTTTGAGCAATTCAACTGAAAATTCAAGGTATCATAATGTAAGGATAATTCACACAATAGGCTGCTTCACAGGATAAAATGGGTCGAGATTTTGAGAAAATAATAGAATGATCGTTTTTGAAGCAACGGACAAAACTCCAACTTACCGATTCACTAAACCATAACATTCGAGATTCTGAGTAACAACGAAACATTCCATATACAGGATTGAGTAAATCTCGCATAACTAATAAGAAAAATTCCTTGAAGAGATATAAAAAAAACAACAGTAAAACGAATACTTCCATGTATATAAACATAATTACGATAGAATATTTGACTGAATAAAGTACCAGATGAAAAATATTTACAAGGACACAGGTTGATTATAATTTCGATGGATAGATATCCCATGATAGGGACCACTAATCGACCCTCAGACCTAGAGGTCTAGTCCACAAGATAGAGGAACAATGTTGGGATATCCAGTCCTACGGTAGCCGATGACCATATGCCATTTATTACCTTAGAATCCTGGACCCTGTATGCAATATTGGTTTGGATTCAGGGTCTTCCGACTTCCATAGATGGATCCTCCATACCCACAAACCCGGTTAAAACAACGGACATCTGGTTTTCTTTGCCTCAAAACAGTAAACAACTACCCTGCTTCAAGAAGGAATGAGTATGATTTCGCTGGCAGTGGGTATATACGTGTGGTCATGTGATAGCATTTCGAGAAAACAACCTTCATCCTCTGCCGTACGAGGACGTTTGGAGGTCCTGTAGTGAGCCCATTCAAACACTGTATTATTTATCTGCTCACCATAATTTAGACACTTGATCCACCATGTAATTTTCTGTGTGAGTATGACTGAGCACCTTTCTGTACATCAATTTTTAATCTATTCTCACATTGGTTGTAGTACACAGACAATCAATAATTTATCCATACTTGATTAACACTCATAAATATATATGGATCTTTAACACACACACACACTCTTGTTTTCCCTGTGTGCTTGCTTCCTGTACGCTTGCGGATTTTACCAATCTTCAACAATAAACTATCTCTATATCTGGTGTTCAGGCTTTTAAATAATCTCGAGTAAATCTATAATTCTACTAGGAGATTTAACCTGCATTAAATACTCAGTTAATGGGATACTATTTAGTGAAGTCAGATATAGAGGATACTAGCCTCTACAGTTCCATGATAGTATTAAATAATTCTACTTTAAACGGAAGCTTAATTTTATAATATAAATTTTATATTTGGAAAATTAAAAATCATTAACATTTCAACAATGATTGAACTTTCCTTATCATCAGCATTACTTACTTTCATTACACCACCTTCATCTACCGCTTCTTCATTTTCGAATTTCACCTGAAATAGAAACAAAAAAGAAAAGAGAGAAAACGAAGTTATTTATTTTAATAGCTTGATGAGACTATATATATTAAATTTTATAAATTACAATATGAAAAATCACAAAGTACAAGCATATTTGAAGCGAGAACTGTTAGGGTTTAGCCAGTTCTCGGAAAAAATAAGCAAATCAGACAATAGACATTAGTTTACAATGATGAGTTTCAGATAAAGAAAAAGTAATTCATTTGGATTTCTTGTTAAACAGTTAACACTTGAAATTGAATTTTAATTACAAGTATGATAATTAAACATTGAAATAAGATTTGAATAAGTTTTTTACGCGGGTGATTTTTTAAAATACTAAAATCCTAAGTACTATGATTGAACTTGAAGAAAATGTGAAAAACAAACACAATTCATATGAATTCAGACTAAAATTTCAAGTGATTCATCTTTAGACGGGTTTATGAATTAGGGTTTTGACGGTTAAAATAATAATAATAATAACGACGTAAAACGTTAGGCGTAATTGATAGACTTAGTTAATGATATAAGAAACAGCTTTCTGAGTAATAGCTTGATTGATATAATATTGGAAGTTTCTGGGATTATTAATAATCTGACATGAAACCAGTTTATCCGAGATCAACAAACAAACATGTATCAACTAAAAGGTTATTTTCACTGACAGATATTGAATTGAAATTCGTTCATTTCATATATTCCCTTTATTCATGATGAATTATATGATTCCATCAAATCTGGAACCTGTCCGATATTTCATTAAATAAGTGTGATTATTGATGACAGCATTGTTCTTGTTTATAATCAAAACTTAATTGATCAGTTGCTATTAGGGTACATAAATAACCCAATAATCTATTGATTCACACATTGATCACAGACTTTAATCGTGACCAAGCACCGATGAAATTCAGTATGTATAGTACTATTTTATTTTCTAATTGTAATATATAACATTTTTTTTAAACAATCGAAATCATAAACACAGGGTTAATTTTCCAGTCGATAAGATCCACACACACACACACACATACAAAAAGTGAAACACATAAAGTAAATTCTTATTCAATACCACACCATTATCAAAGTGTATACAACCATTATTACTAATGAAGAAATAACAAAACTGGTTATATGTAACAAAAAAATTGTGGTTTATTTGATTTCATTCGCATCATTTCACTTAAAAAAGAAATAAAAACCTACCCCCCCCCTGTTTTTTTCTATTAAACAATAATTATATTGATGTAAATGGATAAGGTTTTAAAAAAAGAGAAATGAAGAATAATTCAGTTATTGACGAGAGTTTTCGACAACAATATTAGATAATCAAATTTATTTGTTCATTATTTAATGGGAAAAGAAATAAGAAGAAACTCAGTTGTTGTCTTTTCTTAGAAAAAAAATCATTATTTGGTTTTCCACTAATAATTTATAACCAAAAAAAAGAATGATTATTTCATTACAAGTTTATATTAGTCATATAAAAACTATGAGAAACCTTGATGAATAAAAATGATTCAATTGATAGGGAAATTTCTAAGTTGTAACAAGTTGAAGATTGTAATGAAACGATTCGGTCTTAAGTAGATGAACCCAATGTGGTAGCAGTAGTAGTAATAGGACATGGATGTTTTAATGACTCAGTCTAGTTAAATTGGTTGAAACGACTGTTTTTTTTGTTCGCTCGAACTATGCCAGGAGGATCGGTTGCAGAGCGAAAATACTGAAAGCAGCAACTTAAGGTTTGAACCAGAAGGGATACTGATGACTGTATAAGGACATGATCGCAGTAAGCTGTTACATCAGATAAACAGCACATCTAACGATACTGACTCCTCAAAACGTAAAAGGTTTTAAAAAAACATCAGGCCTTAAAACAACACACCACATCTCATGCTCAGGGATTCTAGTTATCAGAAGCACTTTAAAATACTTCAAGAATATCTTATGGAGAAGCCGTTTTTGATCAGTCTCAAGGAGTTGTCCCTTAGCCACTGCGGTCAAACACCCAACTCGTCAAGAACTCTACTAATCCAGTTTTGTTTCAGGTGTCCCTAGAAGAAGTATCCATCCACGATATGAGAGACTGTCCAAATATCTACAACGGTATTGATCGAAACCGGATTGCTTTAATTCATCTCAGACAAATTAAGGCCTTGCCCATTCTTAGAGGGAAATGAAATAATTAATGCATTTTTTGACGGTTTGTGAATAAATGGAACCGATGTTAATAATATAACTCAATATACGATGCGTTTTTTTCAAACATTGACAAATTATCATTCTATCACTTTATAATTTCACAACTTTGAATATTATTGAACAGTTGAACAAGCATACATAAATAGAGGATAATATGCATCGCTGATCCAACCTTATATTTTCACGAGACTTCTCAAAACATACTGTAAAATGAATTAACAACATCAGACCAAGTTAAGTTATGAAAGTCAAGTGATGTATGTACGTCATACATAAAAAACATATACACTGATAGAAACAACAGAGTTGTGACATATCAGTGAGTGGGGCGCCAGGAACTGTGATTTACAACATGAGTATGCAGATATTATTTAACAATTATTAAAACTTAGATCATAAACCCATAGCACAAAGCAAACAAAACACAAATATGTCAACAGAAACCAGAGAAGAGAATTATACACAATTACAAACCCTAAGTAACTTCTTGAAGTCAGCTGGATTAGCCATTGTCAAATTAGAAAGTGTATCTTGAAGAATATTGTCACGTCTAACAATAATGGTGAAGTACGGTGATGTTGTACTGCCATCATACATACGTGAACCAATAAATGGTGAGAGTAAACTTTGAAAAATGGCAGACTGTTGCGCTTGTGACATAGCTTGTTGCATTGTTAAACGAGCTTCAATGTTAAGCATTTCAGCTTTGGATGCAGCGTCAAATACAAATGGATAATCGCAGAATGAAAAGAAACGCTGTTTGATAATGGAAAGAACAAGTTAACGGAAAAATTATAATAAAACCAAACAGTAATTTAACTATCAGTATGTGGTTGTAGAAACTTAAATTTTATTGAAATTATGAACCGACCACCGTTTGAAACCAGGAAGCAATGGAAGATCATTTCGTCCAAGCATGGAACTGCTCAGCACTGTACGCCTACGTCCTTGCACGCGAGAATCAAGCCGTTGAATGTAAATCTAAATGGATTAAAGGCTAAGCGTTCGCGTGCGAGGTTCCTGGGTTCGATTACTGATTACGAGGTAGAATGTGCAGGTCTAGAGTTTGATCCCTGATAGAGCAGTTCTTTCTGGTCCTCATTAGTTATCTAACACAGGTCAGTTAGGGGTCCAAATAGAAAATGTTTAACATCTACAGCAATTAATTCTTCGCTGTTCGAGGTATTCAATATTCAGTAGTTCGATCATAAGTTGAGACAAAACCCCAAATTTAAAGGTCTTGACTTTAAAGTAGTGTCTTACCTTTAACATAATCGACAATATTAGTGCAGGAAGATTTATGATGATCGTTTAATACCCTTAACGTCCAAATATATGCTTACTAAAAAACATCAATTTCCTCGGTTTCATTCATAGGGAAGTTGCAAGACTACACTGATGAGAAGTTACATACTAAAAAAGGATGCTGATTTCTACTTGATTAAGCGGTCATCTACCTAAAGTTAGTTCACAATATAACAAACAAAATTGTTAGTCTCCAGATCGCATGAACAAGTAGTTCTTTCTATTACAATAATTACTTAAGTTCTGATTTATCAGAATCATGTGAGTCGAGAATTATGTATAACTAAGCTCTATGTATTTACACAAGCAACTTACTTAGGTAACAATATGACGTTTTTCCACTTAGTCACTCTCATCGTTCCAAGTTTTATCGTCTTCATATCGCTTCAGTGCCCCTCCTATATGAACCTTTTGAATTTCGGGAACAAAGATGGGTTGCAGAGGTGTTAGTAAATAGGCAGGGGAATGAAGCATGGTGAATGCCTCCGAAGCATCAGGAAAAACGCTGAGCAATCTCCTATTCAAATGTCATAAATAAACATCAGACTAACTCAAGATGATGGTCATTCACGTATCATCCGAATGGATTTTAGTTTATTAATGTCTAATAACTAACAACCGCTTATTTGATATAAATAACACGTAATTAATTAATTAATTAATTAATATAGATGATTAAGTTCAAATGTCATCTACTTACCATTCCACCGGAATTACATTCTTGTAACCAATTTACGAATGCGCTTCCTATATTAATTTTATCTTTTAACGATGGGAGATAAAAACTATTATAAGAGATTGGATTAGGATGATTTTCATTAACCTAAATTTAATTTTCAAAGAATATACATAGAGTATTTTGCTTTATAAGTGAAATAACGTGAATTGGTTGATATGCAAACAAATAAAATATAATTCAGTTTTAATAACTGATTAATCACGCCTCGTTTACACTCAGTCTGATCTGGATTGAATAGTAACACTAATCGTCACACACATAAACACTAAAAGACGAAGTTATATTTTTTAGTGAATAAGATTAAACTGAATTACTTATTTGCACATAGTGTTCTAAATGTAGATTAAATTTGGATGAATAAACTTACTTCAGTGTTCTACAGTTAATTTTAACAGAGAGCGAAGCATTTCAACAATGCTATACAAATGTCATGTCAATTGTTGGGATATTCAGAAAAATATACCAATAATTATCATGTTAAGTCTAATAGTGTCCTTGGACTTTAAATGGACATTCCCTATTGGTCAGTATATATTTCGCTTGTTAAATATTGTACAAATGTTGTTTTTTGTTTTATGGTACGATGTGGTCTGGTTGATTGGTATATAAACAGAGTATGTTTGAAATATAACAATTCATATCTCAGAGGCTGAGACTTGCGTTCTGGACTCAACTGGCTGGGCTAAACAGGGAAGCAGGGCCAATCAGGACTCTAGGTCGTCCTTACGTGTTTTACGTGTCATTGATCCGATCGATAATTACGCTGCGCATCTAGTCTGCAGTCCACACGTTACAAGATTAATAAAGACGTGTTTGATGAAAACTAGGTACAGATACACAAACCTCGTACAACCTATGAAAAGATTAATTTGACTACCAAATAAAGAGTATACTGTGAAACAGTTTGCTGTTTCATTCTACAGTAATAAAATATGGTTTTTAAAGATTGAGGTTATCAGTATTTGATGATAGATATTTTCAAAGCAATGCTTGCGAATGATGGAATGACCGAGTAAGGAATAGTGAAAATAGATGTAGTGATGTGAAGAGAGGAACAGAGTCAATGAAGGACAACGGAAGCGATTTCAGGGAAAATTGTTTCACATATTTGGTATACATTTAGTTTTGTCCCTGGTTTATACTATCTGTTTTTTCATGGGTCTATTCTCGTTGATCTGAAAAAGGAATAAAACGAGTGATATTCCAAACGCTTTGTCTTTCTTCTCTCTCGCTTGACAACGAATCAGGTGGTAAGATATTTTTTGTCTGTCCGCCTTCCAAGGCCGTTTGGTCACAAATTGAACTCACGTATTAAGGGTGAACTAAATAGCCTATCGTGTCAAGGCTTCAAAGTGGATCAAGACACATTTTCCCCTATATATTAGTAGGGAGACGGACCGAGGGTATAACAGGAGGGTACTGAGTTGATGAGGCTGTAAATCTCTATCATCCCAAGTGCTTACGGTATATGTTATTTATCTCCTATATCGAGGAACAAGACAGGCTGGCTCAAGTTGCATGAGAGCTAAAGGTGGCTAACCCAAGACTTAGGAGTCAGCCCATCAAGTTATTTATTGTCAATCTGAGTTATGTTCACATGTATAGACTACCTGGTTTTGGTTGACCAATTAACATGTGAAAGTAATTAAATTGAAAGCTAAACTCATTAAAAAAACAGTGGCTGAACGAGAGCTGGTTACAACTCAGTAGTTGAGAGAAAGCTTACAAGAGATCTGTTATGATGTTTACACTTTCAATCATCAAGATACATGTCGAAAATATACAACAGTTTGAAAGCGAGTCCATATGTTAGTTTTATCTATCCTATAATTCGCTGTTTAACCATTTTGCTGTATTAAATAGTTATGAAAATTTATGTATAAAGAATATACATTGAACAATTGTACTATATTTCGCCACATTATAAATGACCGATCTTTCACTCTTTTCTGTTATGTTCATCATTGTAAGTGAAGTTGACCTAGTGTTGTAATCGTGGTACAACAGTAAATATCTGGTAAGTGTAACCAAGACATTAGCATCTGCATCTTAACCTCCTACACGGTAAAATATAGGAATTTAAGCAGATAATCCACTTGGAGGTATGAAATGATAGATGCTCAAATAAAATCAGATACTCATCAGCACAAACTGTGATTCAAGTGGATTTGCAGTATTTATCATTGTGTCACGACTAGGTGGATTATCTCTACCTTTTGAACATACCAATTAATCTGATCTTTCTGAGCCAACATCTACACAAATATTCGACTTTATTAGTTATTCACTAGTAACTTACATAGTGATTATTTGAGCGTATGAGTGCAGGTGTATTTGTCACTAACTCCCTTTGTCATATTTCTTTATATTTCATTCCCGATTGATTATAAATAGGGAGTCACGCTTTGCTAACTTGAGTTGGGACGTTTTCCTTTTCCGCCTCGCTTATTATCTTCCTGTCTGTCTAAGTAAAAGAATATCTGAAAATTTATCCAACTTAATTCGTACTAGGCTTTTTATTATTACCCTTACCCAAACGAGAAAGGCCCAAGTAGAATATACAACACCAAAACCAAAAATTTATGTTCATGGTTTATTCATCGTTCGCTCATTCAGTCGTCGAATAGCTAAATCGCAGGCTGTTAAATCAAACTGACGAATCGCAAAAATAGTAAAACTGATCTACTATTCACTAGCAAAAAACATTTTTCCATTGATGTTTATTTGACAAGATGGCATAATATTTTCATGAATATTCTATCCTTTATATTTCAAAATGCTAGTGGGCGGCCTATGTTCCTTCATGAAGGGTAACAGGTGTAAGTAAGTATGTTCAAAACGATATCCGAATGAATAATGAACCAATCATCAAACACAATAAATGTACACTTTTATCCAAAAACTACTGAGATATGAATACAAACATAATAAATACATTACACAAATATTTACTCGATGTAAACGTTTCATAAATTCCAATGCTTGACGAATGCTTTCTTCTTTTAATTTACGCTGTAAAAGAAAAGAAATAAAACTACATGTAATTCTCTTATTATCAATTTGACCATACTATCGGGCAAAAAAGCAAACCGATGATAAGATCTGCTCTTGTGTAGTTTAATTCAAGGAAAAATTAGTTTTTATTATTTTCGCCCGATAAACTACATACGTATAAATCATGTTAAATGAATATCAGATAAAGTAGAAACTACTCTTTTGCAAAATATGCATAACATTGCAACAGTAAAAACGAATTTAGTTGTGTAACATAAAAAAGGGAAGAAACTGAAAAGAGGAGGAATATGAGGTCAGAATGGGAAATTTTTAGTGTGTGAGGAAGAGTTAGGTTTATGAGATTTATTTGTAGACCTTTTTTGACAAAAATAATCAAATATTAGTTTGTTCAATTTAATTGACGGAAAATTCTACTTAACCTAAGTGTCATGCTTGTTGATACTTGTCAGCAAATCGTAACTGCGATCTAGAGAGGACTGATATTTCCTGGAGGATTCAAAGCCACCTCATCCAGGTTCACAGTTTGAGTGGTTAGTACTGAAACAGTCAAGACACACCATATATCTAATAGGACAACATATTAGTGATCACTGATTATTGAGCGATAGTATATGTGGCTATATTGCAACTTGATCGACAGAATCCAATCGACATTAATTAGTGATCAATCAAATAAACTGATCAGAAACTATTTTTGGTATTTACAGGATTTTAATCCATTAACTGATTACTGAACTTTAGTAAAATTTAAGCAAACAAGCGTTGTATATAGGGCTAGGGATTTCAGTCAATAATAATAATATTATTATTCAGTCATGAATTCTTTTTAATCGCTTTCACAGGAAATCAGTGGAAATTCTGAAAATTAGCTATTATTCAGTAATCTCACAACGGTGAACACCGACTCTCCGGGTAAAATAAACATCTTCCATTTTCAAACAAATAATAAAACCTGATGCTAATTAATTACTTAGTAGAAAAAATTGTCTAACACTTGAATAAGTGTTAAATAGGCAGGATAATCTAAAACACTAAACCAACACATCTGAATTTCAAAAGTTGAGATCATAGGTCGATTGGAGCTAGACCACCATGGAAAACCTAGAAGCACTGATTATTTTGTGACCATCATTTGTATATTTGATTAATTATTTAAAATAATTAAATATATTTTACTGAACTAAAAAAAGTTAACCAATGGACTATTTTTCTGCAAAATATTTGTCATAGATTTTAGAGGTTGATTGGTTGAGGAGATCGCTTTCACGTTAAATGTATCATCGTAACACATAACCATGACTAGATATCAGTCATAAAGTAGGTTGGCTCTTGATAGTTCTTCAAAGAAATCATTAGAAGCTGGAGAAAGTGTTCAAAATACTCCAACCAAGCAGAGGTTTTTAGGAAACCTCCAAAAAAATTCTAGAAGACGATTGATTGTGTTATGATTAACTGACTGAAAAGTAATTTATTTTATTGATGAATTTGGTCTGTTTTCCAGAAGTTTCTATAATCCCAAAATGATATAAAATACTACAAATATCCTTATTTGTTGTATAATGAATAACTTAGGAGACAAAGTTTTTTCATATTATCCGATATTGTTTTTTTCGTCCGGGATTCAAGTTCAAAAAATTTATGGGAACTAAGAATTCACGTAAACCACTTATCAAAATGCTAAACGTCTAAATTTGAGTAAAACTATTAAGTAGTTATGTACTTCGGTTCAGCATAGCACAATATAGCAGGACATCAAAAAGAAATAATCAAAAGAAATAGTAGAGTAGTGAAAGTAATAACAGTTTCATTGATATTAAAAAAGTATTAAGGATAGACAGTACGATTTGAGAACAAAGGATGAATTTATGGAATAAAATAGGAATTATAATTATTTCAAAACTAAAGATCTAATGAAGGGTGAAGAGTGTATACATTTACTCGATTGTGAGCGATTCGGAACCACACCGTTTAACATCTACATTTACTCACTGCGATAATTAAATGTACTTTAACCAACTAGTCTACATTGATTAATATGACTAAGCTAATAACAAGATGGACTGATTTGGCGTTTTGGTTTCACTTTGGTTGAACATAAGTAACACATATCCTAATTACGGAGGTAGTTGAAGACACATTACTTCATCAAACAATTTGTCATTTTTACCTAGTGGTCCGTGTATAACCTTAGTACTACTCACTCAATGATCTCAACACAAACGAACAACTAAACATTAGAATATAACAATCTGAATATCAGTTTGTTAGAAGTTAACCAACTTACTTGACTGTACGCTGAAGCTGGTTGCATGTCCAATATATATGAAATTAAATTATTCAAATTCTATATAGTTGGAACAAAAAAATGCAATCAGCAAACTACCTTGTATAACAGATAATTATAAAAATGTCAATAATAATAAACTGATCTATATACCGTTATTACGTGGTTCACAAACTTCGTGTAATGATGAAATTATTTACCAAACTTAAATTGATGATACGGTGTAAACAGACTGTGATTATATTGGCTTATATAAGAAAAACTGAAACACAATACACAACACCCTGTTACAATTTGAACTAGTTATTGTCTTCAAATAGCAAATGTTTCAATCGAAAAATAAGTTTTCCAGTAAAACCTGATGAATTAATGGTAAATTAACATATTGATAAATGAAACCAAGTCTATTGAGTCAATGCTCAATATGGTGAATGCTATTCAATATGAGTGTTTTAAATTACAAAGATAACTGTGGTGCATATATATGTGATGAAGAACAATATTAAAAAGGTATATGTGGATTTATCCACTATGAAATAATAGTAGTCTAAGTGAACATGTTATTAAAAAGAACGAGAAAACCGACATTTATTTGCAATCTGTTTGTGCCCTTAGGTTTGTTTACTTTTATATTGTTGCAAATTATTATTATAAGTACTAAGTAACGCGATTGAGATCGCTTTTACCTAGATCATTCATTTGTAAACTTGATGTTTCAGTTCTCTTACAAAAGACAAATATTGATTTCTAACAGATGCTTGAATTTCTTAACACCTCTGTGAGAAATATTCTAACAAACTACTCTATGAATTATGTCTTTTCAAATACAGCATTCTTAAATGTTTCTTTCATTTATATGTTACAATCCCTTTTGCAATACCTTAATCATACCTATAAACCAGTAAAGTTTTAGTAATTATTTACGAAATATTAATTTATAATATAGAAAACAGAAGTATGAAGGTGAACATCAATACACAGACTGAAAGATATTTTCATCTGAACATAAGTGATGTAAACTTTAGTACTTAAGGTTCATTTTACAAAGTCAACACAAAATTAGCCAAACTTCTAGTAAACAAAACAGATATCAGAAGCTTAAAACTGTTATTACATCTAAAATATTCTTCAGTCTTCACTCTGACCATGTACTTTATAAGTAAATCGGCTTACTACTTATTCGTAATAAGTAGTTACAAACAAAATTCAAACTTTTAGTGCGATGGTATACCTTATTGCAAAATAATCCCTTTATTGTAATTATTTATGCCTTACTTTGCGAATTGAAACAGCAATTCTTTTCCCACATTTATTCGATATTTCGGTTCACGCTATTTTTTGAGGTTTTGTTCGGTCTGAACAACCTGGTTATTTTAAGTTCGCTTAGTTGCTTGGTATTTGTAAATTCATAGTGTTTAATCCGCTTTTAAATATTTCACCATACTTATAAACAAATTTCTTTTTTTTTAAAAAATACGCATAAATCAACTTCTACAACTTTATAAGCACATATGCCAATAAGAGACTGATCAATTTCAGTCCTAAACATCAATGGGAAGATTCAAGTAAAACAATGCCATGTGAATTAAACTTCTACAACTGTTCATTTAAACAAATACATGATACAATGGAGAAAAAAATACATACCAGGACTAATTTTTTCAAATAACGTGGTTGCATTTTTGTAAACCACCGATCTGTAAATAAAAGATGTGACAGAAATATTTGTTGAGTATTATAGAACACAATCGAATGTAAAAGAGAACTGACAAGAATCTATCTCTGTAGTAGTAATATATGCATATACTAATAACTAATTCGACAGGAATAATTTTCACAATTGTTTTAAATAAGTTAATTCAAAGTAATTATTTATGTTATCATAAATAAGCTGGGGACAGCGTTATATCCGAACGAAGAGTGAATGAATGGTAACTGCTATGAATTATTTATGGACCATTATTACAAATATTCCTATTGGATAACTATGAAGTAACTAGATTATATATATATTCGTATTACTTTGATCTATTGGTTACTGCAATACGATCTACCATTCTTAACTCATTCCTAAACTCACAGTCACTTTTAACTTGATCTTGTATAGTCATTGATTTTAATTTTATGGTGTCATACGATCTGATTTGCATGTATATAAACCACGTATGTTTGAAAGATACGAGGCTGAGATTGTTTTATCGACTCAACGGGCAGGATTAGAAGAGAAGGGCCAATAAGGATTCAGAGTTGATACAAGGCTGCTAGTGCTGTTTTGACGTGTCATTGGCTTAGTACAAGAACAAGGTCATATAAGTCGGTATTTGGATTGGCGATTTTGTCACGCCAAGATTAACAGGGCAAAAGTCATAACAGTCAGAGAGACGAAAACATAGCATCGGTCAAAAAAGTCATTGACAATTAGAATAAGCCATGCTAATAGGTACAAACAGCCTGATTGGGTTTACCATTGTAACCAGTAGTTAGAGACCTTGCATGAGATAACTTGAAATCGTTTGCAGTGGAGTTGGACTTTGGAACTGTTTTTTACTTTACTAATTTATATTTTCTTCAGTCGTATCTTCGATGCTTAATCCTCTCTATTGATATTATTACTGTCACCACTACTAATACCACGCTAGGATTTATCTTGACAATTTCATTTCGTTGTATTAATGGAGGGTGACGAATTGGGCTGATGTACATAAATACCAGGTTCTCCGTCGCGTTTGACTGACTGAAGTATTCTTTTTACAAAAGAAGACAACTAACGAGTCTGATTAAGTTAATCTTTGCAAAAGGTCGCACATGGAGGTGAATGAAACAATGAATTCAAATCACCTATGTATTTCTTCACAAGAAATTATATCGAAACAGTGAATAATGATATTGCTTTTGTTTGCATAAAACCAAACGTTTTAGTTTGCGCCGACCTACATAGAACATTCCAGTAAGTAGGATATTATAATCAACGATATCTTCATGCTTTCATTTTATGAGGCTTCAATGATATTTCTTTCTGAATATTTTAAACAAAGGTGAAATGTTCTCAAAAAATACCTACGATCAAATACATACATCCTTAGGTTATCATTGTCGATATATGCTATACAGCTAGAACTGCCAAACTAAATTAAAATGGCTGAGTAGCAAGTTATACAATTTTGAGCGAATTGACCATTTACCTTCTCAGTTGGGTGAATATACCTCTATATATATGCTGTGGGATACATGAGTGAAAATTTGTGCACTACCAGGGTGCATCCCAATTATTTTGCTCACAACGTAAGTATACCTATGTGTATACCAAGGGATGCATGGGTGATAACGTATGTGTTCCAGGTATGAATGTAGAACATACTTTCTCCTGGTGCGACGCCTGCGTGCCAAGACCCAGGAGTCCAAACGATTTACCTACCTGATAGAACCTTGCACAGTACGTTACTCCTATCTACTGGTTTAATTGCATTAAAACATAAATATTTTAAATAGATATTGATGTGAACAGAGTTTTGAATACAACTTACACAGTAATCGATAAGTAAAATACATTTTAAAAAAGCCATTAAATGGTTAATTAATTTGTCAAGAAAACAGAAACGGTTCACATGGATACATGTAAAATGTCAATGAGGAAAAACTGAATTACCTAATATTTTCGAAGGCGCTGGATCAAGTCTGTTGATAGCAACTGAATAAGCATTCAAAACTAAACCAGGAGTAGAAAATCCTGCGCTCAGAACAGGATACGGTTCAAAATTTGTATTCATTTCTGAAGTTATATCCATTTTGTTCACGTCAGGGACTGCTTCGTCTATAATTGGTTTTCGAGGCATATTTAGTAAATCAGATACAGCGAGAAACATGAGACCTCGGAGACATTCAATACTAGGATAGTTAAGACGTGATGTTGACAACACATCATCCAATAGTTTGTTAATCAAGCGTTTTAAATCTCTTTTCGGTAGAATATGAAAAATTTGTGACTGTAATGTGCAAGCTAAGTCTAAATCTACACCGTGTTCCTCTCGGCCTGTTTTAAAATGACTGTTTGGCTCCCTAAAATGAGCAAGAAGTAAAAATATTTTAAAAAATAAACAAAACGGTAAATTAAATACATATTTTATATTACTAATAAAACAGACTACAATATGTACAGTGAATTATTATCAAATAGAGTTTGAAGGATTCCAACAGTAAATAATAGATGTAAAACGTTATCGATAACGTTCAAATACATTATTGAAACGTAACTTTTTTCCTTTAACAGAATTTTGAATTACAAGACTTTGAAATGCTGTTATTTTGATGGTAAATAGTATAAAGAGTTCATTTTCTTATGATCTCTAAAATGTTTCCATTTACTATTTATCCCTAACAAAATCGGTGTATAAATATAAGGATTTATGGTACCATTTCGTAATTAGGAATTAATTTTTTTAATATGAAGTAACTCCGAAAATCATCCTATAATTACAAAAAAAACACTTATGAAAATGTTCTTCTCGGTCAAGTCATTTACCAAATATGTACAATTGTATTTAGCATTCCTTTTGACACGTCACAGTTTAGCATAAAAATAAATAGACATGTCGTCATCAAATAAGTGATCGAATATTCAAGTATTTGGTGTGATTTACTTAATAATTCAGGTGATAACAAAACATTAAGGTGAAAATAGTTTAGGGGATAAAATGTCTGAAAGGTAATTCCGTTCAGTCCATGCTAAGGACTAGTGTTTTTGATATGATGAACGAATTTTCGGCTTTCAGGTTGGAAGAAAAAATGTTAATCAATAAATGATATACAGTAGAACAACGCATCACTTGATGATTCTAAAGAAAAAAATAACATAAGGTTATAAAAACTTGTGGTTAAAAAAAGTAGGGTTAGATTCGAAAAACGTTGAGGTTTGAAACCATGCATTTTGAAACACATCCGCTGTGTACAAGTATTTACCCCCCTCTCTCTTAGAGGTAGTATCTAAAACCTTGTTTGAAACTGTAAAGGACACTTTTATTGGGGCTATGTGACCAGATTTGACGGTGTTCAGGAATTAGGGCGTCTGTTGATGAATATTCCTATGATACAGCAAGGAAAAGTAATGCTTACAGATGAGCTTGAAATGATTATGTATTCAAAGCTAATAAAGCGTACGTCGCAAAAGTAAGGAAATTGACAAGTAAACAGTGGAGCAGCCTGTGATAGTTTATCCACAAAGAATTCCAAAACACGATAGAAACTAGGGAAGAAAAACTGAAGCTCAGTTGAGTAAAAGGTCTATCTGTTAGTAATTTTTACAGTCCTGCTTCAGTATCTAAGATTATCATTAAATTAAAAGGATAGAGCACAGTTTAGTTAAATGTCATTATTACTCTACAGTGATTAAAACTTCTATCTGATATTTATAAACTTATGATAATTTAAAATGCTTACTTTTCTTCAAGACAACTTGCTGATAAACAACCTAAAGAGGAATATACAGATTCAACCTTTGAAACAATTGCCATTGGTTCATTTGATGTAGAACTGAGAGATGTTAATGGACGAGATGAAGAAAGTGATATACATCGAGAAATTGGAGGTGGAAGTGCTAGTGCAGTATGAGCACTTCTAAGTTGTTCTACAATTTCAGGACAAACAGTAAGAATTGATTGCAATGATGAACGATTCCAATTGCGCAAATCATCAGCATCCACAATTTCACCAGTCTGAAGAAAAATATGGGATTAATTAATAACAGGCTATCTATAAAAGTACCAGGAACTAGTATATAAAAAAACTATAAATTCGTAAATCATTCTCAATATAGAACTTTAATATTTATTTATGAAAACATATAAACATTGGTACAAGGAGGCACCAAATATATATGAGCCACAAATCGTCATTCAATTTGTGTGAGGGCTGGAATACTGCCCGAGTGCTCAAACTGAAGCAGGTGGTTTTCTTAGATGGCCACATCTCGAGCGTTTGGCCTAGAGATCTAATCTATAAGATAGTGAGGTAACGATAACCAGAGACCAACAATAGGTTCGTAGGTCATTTGTCCTCTCAAAATCATGGAGCCCATATGCACCATTGGTTTGGAATTAGGGTTTTACAACTACCTTGGATGGATCCTCCGTATTCACTAACTCAGTTACAGCACCGGACATTCGCTTTTCGCCCTCTCGATTTCGTAAACAACACCCCCGCCGAGAGAAGGTAGTGAGTATGAGATGATGGAAAGAAAAGTCAGTTTTCGATTGATTTACTCATTATGAGTTTTGTTCAACATTACTTCCGTTCTGACTCGATGTAATGATCATTCAGTGTAGTATTTATTGTCTTTTCTTGTATGATATTTTATTCTGCAAAACATATGATATTCGTGTATTCCATTGACATGAAGTATGCTCAGTATGTGATTTCTTATAACTCTAAGTACTTTTCATGTATGTGACTTCATCCTAATTATTAACCAAAATGGGTGTACAATCAATATATAAATGAGTGTATTTTCTACTAGAATAGTCGTCGTCGTGTTTTGAGGTTAGTAAATCATCACTTATACTAGTCTTTGTGTTCTTACTTTCGCGTCGTGGGAATCGCAGAGGTCCCTCGTTCCGAGTATAAGTGATAAGCGTTTCCGACATAACAATCAGCGACGAACAGATACAAAAATTAGCATTAAAAGAGCCAAGACAATAAGCATTCAAACGACAAATTATAACAGAGTGGGTATCTGGAAGTACAATATGATAATAATAATAATAATAATAATAATAATAATAATAATAATAATAATATAATTGAATCAACTCATCCATCAGGTACTTGAACTACATCCTATATGTGAAGGGTAATGATACTATTCGGTTGCTCAAACCAAAGTCGGTGGAGCAAAGTTCAAACCTTAGACGTAGTGGCTGAAAGTCAAACCACCTTAACCACTAAACTATAGCTACACGTTGAAAATGCATAATATATGTTGATTGATTTAACTATCTGTAACATATATGAAACGAACCCATATGTACAACAACATTGTACACATTGAAGATCAACGTGTTGAACATAGCAAGGCATAAAAAGAGTATTCCTTCGCCTATTCTCTACTACACTATGTGATTATTTCACCGTTTAAAAACACTATTTTTTAAGTGGTTAGTGTATATTAAATTGCTGTACTGTTAATTCAACTCATTTTGTCGTATTCAAGGTCCTTGTATTTGATTTTGTAGCATATTTAAGGTTATTTATTAGTGTAAGACTTAGTGATACTACATTACTGCTCAAATAAACCTAAGTGAACTTGAGGTTTAAATATGTGACTTAACAGTTGATCAATGTTTCTTTATTATTGAACTATGGAACATTGTGCACTAATACAAATTGACACAATTCTACAATTTAATGTCATATCTTTATAGGTAAATACTCACACCTTTCTGTTTATAATTAAAAGTAAGATAATAAATTGTATAGTTTGTCAATACTTGATTATGGGGTCTTTATAAGAAGCTGGTTCTTTAATTCAAACTCCAAGTTCTCTATTTACATGATTTCATAATCTTATTCCAATGACCGAAATTTACTCAATTACTTAACTTCGTCATTTGTGTTCACTCAATATCTTCTATGTGACGCGACTTTATCTTAGGATTAGTAGTTTTACTATCTAGGTGCTAAAACTAAGGTCGGTTGAACGAAGTTTGAATTTGGGACATAAGAGTTGATAACTGAATGTCTTGATTGCTGAACCACCTCATCCATAAATGTAGCTCATATTCTGATAAAGAAATTTATATTCAATGATTAAACTTTATACTATTCTGAATTCTACTGAGTATACAAACGGTTACCACAGTGTAGGGGTATATTTGACAAATAAGTTAAGGAAGTGGTATATTTGCACAATGGTTGAGTTGTTTGACTTCAAACAACTTAGTCGGAACACTACTCCGTCTAAGTTGGTTTAGGCCACAGTCGCGTAGAATTAGTATCAATCGCAATTATGTAGTAACTTGAAAACAAGTAAACGAGTCTGTGCCTGGAGTCCGTAAAGAATGTTCAAACAAATATTAACGTATTGTAAATAAGTTAATATATTTGTAATATCCTAATAAATAGAAAAACTAGATTTTTTGACGTTTCGTGACTCAGTGTAAGCCACTTCTTCAGAGAATAAACAACCAAATCAAAATTAATCCAAGTTTAAATAGTACAAAGGAACAACACACGAATATTATGTGCAATCAATCAAAAAACAGGTCCGAACAAGTCAATGTCATGTCATTCCGGTCAAGGAGATTTATAAGCGACACGTATGTAAATTTGTGTGTATGTGTGCAAGGTTAGGTATGAAAAAATGTGACGTTTGTGGTGAGAAAGGATAGATTTTAATTTGTAAGATAATAGTGTGAATTGTGAATAATATCAGACATGGTAGCTAGGATAGATAGTTCAAGTTGGATGTATAGTGAGGCCTTTCTTCTATTGAGAGCAGTAGGATTAAGCATCATATGGAAAGCTTCAGCTACTCTCCTTTCTTTGTAATATTTTGATGTTTGATGTTCAGCGATATATTTTAGAATTGATCACATTAACATTGTATTGTATTACTACAATTAAACACATAAACATTGGTACAAGGAGGCACCAAATATATATGAGCCACAATTCGTCATTCAATTTGTGTGAGGGCTGGAATACTGCCCGAGTGCTCGAACCAAAGCAGGTGATTTTTTTAGATGGCCACATCTCGAGCGTTTGGCCTAGAGATCTAATCTACAAGGCAGTGAGGCAATGATGGAAGATGCAGTCCCATGGTAGCTTGGATGGAGTATTTTCTAAAATCAAGTCAGTCATAATTATTGCAGAGAGTCCGACATGAAAGTGAATCGACCCAAGTTGTCACAACATATTAAAGGAAGTATAAGATGAACAGCAGAGTAGCTGGAATGATGAATGTCAATGATACCATAAAGAATGTAGTTAAAATAGAAGGAATGAATTTGAGGAAACAAAATATTAGCAATAATATTAAAAAACGCGAAGAATGTATACATATGTGCCACTAGAACCAATTTTTGATTAACTCATCTACACTCTTTCTAGTAATCATGAATATCGTAATAGCATAGACCCAAACAAAACAGACTGAGTTTGTCAACACAGTTCGGAATAATAGTGAATAACTTTATAGGCTCATGTCTTGCTTCGTTCGCCAAAAATGTCCTCCAACTTACTCCTAAACCACTCATTACTGTGCTACAAAGAAGAAAATTCAGAAAGATTCTTTGACACTCAATATGAATAAGGGATCAAGGTAAAAACACATTGAATTGAATCACCTTGAAATGAAAAACGAATGGAGAGAAAAAACATGAACACATTGCTTACTTGATACATTTGAGCTAACAAATAAGTATGATCACCACCGGAGAATATTCGTCGAATTACATAAGGTTTACTGGAAGAAAAATCGGTACCAACAGCAGACTCTTTACTATTCAATTTATGAGATGAAACCCAGTGTCCTTGAGGAGGGACAGAACAAAAAAAGAAATAATGCGCGTGGAATCAATACAATCATTCACTCTGGTAATAATGAGACAATAACGAAGCCTGATAGCTAGGCATTAATCCGATTAAAGGGTGAATGACCTATAGTACCCGTATCCGCTAATCGTTTGATTGTTAAATGACTCCTATTCATGTTCATCCTTGTGTTCAATTTTTGTACATAAGTGTATTGTTTCGTTAGAAGAGGAAAGTTCCTATTCTGAGCAGTTATTCCATGTTTTGATATATACTTAATCGAAGGGAGAGACACGTAGCGTTATGTTAGTAATAATTCAGTTTCGTCAGTAGTTATCACTAGAGGACATTATATGACTGCATACTACCAATGATCCATTCACTCGACAAGCGATAAACATCGCATTCAAAACTGTCCGAAACTAATTCAATATATGCTCTTTTTCCCTTCCTCTCTTTCTATCACTCGAAAAAAAACAGCAAATTTACAAAGAAATAGTCAGAAAAAACACATAGAGTATCATGAAGTGATAATTACCTTTAATTGGACAAGGTAATAAACGATTTGTTGTATCGCCCATACCAAGTTGTGCATTAGCGCCTTGACCAAATGCAAATAATCGACCAGTTTTGGGAACTAGCGCCAATGTATGAAATCGACCACAAGCTATTTGAGTGACAACATTACCCATAAATTCAGTAATTTTACGTGGTACAGATATGCCGATAGTTGATTCATTATGACCTAATTGACCATATCTAAAAATAAAAAAACAAACACCGAATGACATTGGAACAAGGAATTTTAAAAGAGGTAAGTAGGGCAGAAAATAAACCAGGTAAAAATAATCCTAAAAATGTTCAATGTTTAGGAAATAAAGACACTGACTGTTTTACTCACTTTAAGTTAATCGAAATATAACATAATGTAGTAACTTATCTCGGATACTTGTACATGACATCGATTATAACATGAATACTTCAGATAATTAGTGTTAGTTTGATTATACAGAAGACATTAACGATCAACAAATTACAATAACAGTTGTAGTGATCAATCACTCTGAACTTACCAGTACATAGATTGATTTACAATAGGAGTGGATGATGATCACAAATTGACTGAAGTCGGGAATATGAACCATTGGATGTCAGAGTTTAGTAGTAAAATACTCGTTGTGTGGCATGACGGTATCGGATTCAAACCCTGAAGGGTTTGTGAGGTGGGCATTATTGAAGAGTCCAGTACTAAGAAAAGACAGCTGGTTTCTACTAGATGTCTAACTGAAGTAAGTCCATGATTTAACTGTCGACAAATTAGGTAGTTGAAAATGTTACGTCATATGCATGAAAATCGATTTAACTAGTGGATATTCATTGCGTACATAGTTTTAACCATAAGATATCTTATTACGTCATACATATTAGATATAAGTCTTCGTACTGAATGTGAATTAAATATTCAGATCATGCCATTATTAGCACCAATAAATACGAGTGAAATAGACTATTCTTTATACTGTGTTCATATACTGGTCTTTCAGATCAAATCTGTTTGAAAAGCAACAAACTATAGTTTCATAATAAATAATATAGTCACATCTCTAGAATTTAATTTGAAAAAAGGGAAATAATTACAATATTTATGATAAGTTTTGAGAAGATTGAATTTAATCTGTAAATGGTACTCATCATAAATTAACCTCAGTCACGGTATTCACCAGTTCCATTGATCTTTTTGATGGGTATCTTCCTTCGGATTTTTTAATGGTACCTCGAAATCAGTTGATAACGAATACCATCTTCACGTTACTGAATCATTGTGGATGTGTACATACATATAAGATAATATTCTAATTAAATATGATTCTGTTAATGAAATTTTCCATTTTATTTATCTTTTACTCTTAAAGATTATCCCAGCATTCATAATAATTTTTTTTTAAATAACATTTAATAGGCAGGAGTTCCTTGTTAATTTTTCAAGTTTTTTTGTTATTCGATTAGAGAAAACTACAATTTGCCAAACAACGAAGTGTTTGAATATTATTCATTTAAAGTACAGAACCAGGGTGAAATTTACTTATACTTCAACATTAAAAGGTTACAAATTATCGATTGATTTCAAAAGAATTTCATTTTTCTAATTTTTTTTTCTTTCTAATGAATTCACAATGAGACGTTACCAAGTAGACAAGAGTAAATAAGGTTTTTGATTGAGATCATGAACCACCGTGCTTTCAGGTTTCCAACGGTGGTCTAACATCAATCAGTTCATGATCTCAATCAAAAACCTAATAATCTCCACAACCCTTATACTGATAAGTAAATAAGGTGTTAGTGTTTAGTTAAGTTGAAGTTATATTATTTAACGAGAAAAATATTAAAGGGAATATTAGAATTTTAAAAAACAACAACAACAGACAAACCGACAAATACAAACAATAACAAGCCTAACGCAACACTGGTGGTCTAACTTAGGTCGGTTCAAAATATCAATAAGGCTCAATAATCGCCGCAAACCTCTATACCGATAATAGTACTTTCAACTGCTGATACCATAAGCCACTGTTATCAAGCCTCCACTTAAACACATGACCGACAGTAACAGTCAAAAAATTTATTTAGTGATGTCAAAACTTGTTAGTCACAGCGTATTGTCATCTAATTGTTACATCAGTAAATACTACATACCCAGGATAGCTCATTTCATGATATTGTCTGTATGAGTTATACTCTGTTACAATTCAGATGCACGCAGCTAGGAAAGATTGTGGTTTTGATAGAGTAAATTAGTAAAGATTCAACTATTGGGCCTTTGAGGAACTGGGTATTCTGCAGAATAAGTTTTAAAATTATTAATAGCGACAATTTAGAAAAGTCTTTAACAATCATTTATGAGCAGAAACACACTAATTAAGGCCTCAAAATTTTTTTATCAACAAATCCTTCAAAATAATAATAATAATAATCTATGAAGGTATGATCATGAAAAATCCAACCACAAACCTGCCAGCACCGAAAGTGAAAACACCACCATCTCGAGTAAGTGCAACTGTATGTGCTTCACCACAAGCCAAATAAACAATTTCACAACCCCGTAAAGTTTTCACAAAAGTTGGAATAGATACATTACTTAGACTTGTATCAAGGAGTGAAAATGGACGATCTTTCGATTGTTCATCATCAACACTGGTACTACCAACCGAACCATACGTTAATGTCAATTCATTTTGATGATCCTTTGGTGAAGAGCCAAAGTATGATAAGCCAAGTTGACCATAATTGTTAGATCCCCAAGCATAAAGTGAACCACTGACAGTTAGAACAAAACTATGCCAACCCCTGCAACTATACGTCGGACAGGTAAACCGGAAAGACAAAGAATTTGTTGTGGTATTGATATCGATTGTTCTGAACTAAAACCTAAACCTAATTGGCCTTTAAGATTGGAACCGAATGAGAATACACGAGCAGTATCTGTTAAGACAAGTGTGTGTTCTACACCTAAGCTAACCTACAAAAAAATTAGAAAAATACGTGTTTACATTTTCTGAAATATTATAAAAGTGTTATTGATAATAGATAATGACAAAATTACAAAGAGATTGACTATAAAGAAACATTGAAATATTGATTTTATGTAGAGACGACCGGTAGTTATTAGCAACGAAAGTGATGAGTTTAAAAACAAAACAAAAGGAAGATGAAGAAAATAAGAATAAAACACTTATCGTTACCTAGTGTATACCATCAACTAAGTATGTACTCAGAATTATATTTGGTGCCACAACTTTTGTGAAATGATAACATAGTGGTTAAGGCATTTGACTTTCAGCCACTAAGTTGCCGGTTCAAACTCCACTTCACCTACTTCGGTTTAAGTAACTGGATAGTATCACTAGTCCTGACACTTAGAGAGTGGCTAGAAGCTGAGTACATAAATATGCACTAGATAATATGTTTTCAGACACAAATGTGTTTGCGAAGTTTAATAAAAATACCCAGCTGCTTAAATCAAATAAAGATGGAAGGATTCGACCTCGCAGCTAGTGATTATAAAGTATCATTAGTTTATATGAAAAAGCATAGAACTTCTGTAAACTAACTATATAACGAAAGATTGTGAAAAGGAACTTATTGAAAACAGATATTCTTTGTTTTTTTATACTTATCGAGGATAATTTAATGTTAGTGGTGTGTTCTCTAAGCCAGATGATTTAATTTTCAGGTCTCTAGAAATTAGCTAGCATTTGTGGAGCTTACCCTGGTTCAGAGGTTCAGCGTTTCTCCAATTGAATTCATATCCATGTTCGTCTGAATGCTTTGGTATAATTCCTTAGTTAGCAAATCTAAGTTATGTTCAGGATGATGAACAAATTTATAAGTGATCAGAACCATTAAATTGGTACAAAAACATGATAATATGCATATATTTGAAAATCTCAAGTTTCGATCAAGCAAAGTTAAAAGTGAAGATTAGAAGTACTGTGAATTGCTAATGTCTGTATTTAATAGTGAAAGGCACTGTGGTTCAAACTCTGCACTCGTTGACAAGTATTTTGAACAGCCACGTGTATAACGAATTCTTAAGTAAAAATGTCCACAAATGGTAGCAAGTTTACGTTGCCTTTGGAAAGTATCACGACCAAAAACTTTTCGTGTGTTTGTCAGTGTAGGAGAAGGTGGTGACAGAAAATTGGCAGAAACCAAACTAGAACGTAGCACAAGTCCATGAATCCTTCGACTGATGGACTGGGCTGCGTTGGTAGGCGTAGACTAGATTGTTGTCATCCTCCGAGTTATCGGAACTAATAGTTGAAAATGTTGGGTAACATAGCTTACAATTGGTCACAGTAGTACCGATACATTAACTTATATTCGGTTTATTTCGCGAATTCACTCTTTCTTTTTAAAACATATTGTCTACGTCTAATTATTTTTACCACTGCTGATATCGTTGCTAGTTCTACTACTCTGGTATCTGTATTGATGATTTTATCCTTCTATCTGTGTTGACAATGTACATATATCCTGTGGACTATTAATTTGGTCGTATAGTTGCCACTTTTTCCTTAACAATTTATCATGTTTATTTCCTGTTTATATATATTTTACTACACAAGAAATTTATTCATCTGTTCAGTAGTCTTGTCTTTAACTTTTAATCATTTGACAGTTTGATACGGTCTCATAAGCAGCTATTACTCGGCAACACTACATGTCATCGCTTTCATCTATTGATCAATATTCTATTCATTGGTCATAACAACCAAAGATTTTGTCTAATCAATCAATGAAAACTCCCACTATAACATTATAATCCCCTTACCCTCATATATATATATATAGCCATTTGGAGTGTTGTTACATGTTTCGTTGCCTTACTTTCTAGCTAGAACTGGATTTCTCAACTTATAAAGTAAAATTCAAATTTTACAAATATTATAATATATTATTGCTTTATATAATCAAACGCAAAATACTGTGCATTTTTCTTAATCTGCTTAAATGATGATAAGTCCCAAAATGTGCTGGTACGGTCGAGGGTGAGGAGTCCACTCTTCCTCTCAAAATTCTCTCACATATACAGCTACTGCCAGCCAGGTCCTCCTTACTACTTTCTCGTGATGTGGGTGTTTACGAAATTGAGGGAACAAAAGGTGTATGAGACTATTATTCGTCACCGGTTACCATGGGACATTGTTCCAATGCCTTTAGATCAAATGCTCGGAATGTGGCCACCTAAGAAAGCCACATGCTTCGGTTTGGTCTCCCAAGCAGTATTCTAGCCCCCATACAAATTGAATTATGAAGTGTGTCGCATATATTTGGTGCCTTCTTGTATCAATGTCTATGTGTTTAAATAAATTAATGATAAGAAGCTATGAAGAAAAAGTAGGGAATCTTGACAATTCAATGTTAATTATGCAACTAAAATGAACAAATTTAATAATATTGTAGGACAAGAGAACAAGTGAATTATATTTTGACTAATTCACAATAAATTACTTATAATCACATTAAGAACAACAATAAAACAACAACCAGGTGAATATAGAACTAGTTAGTGTGTTTAAATGTAAATCTCATGACAAAATTTTAGTCAATCAGTTAGTTACAACGTAAGACCAGGCACAGACATGCATCGGTCCAAGTTGCTGACAAAATTTAATGATGCAAATTATATTTAATATAGAATATAGTATGCATTGAAACATTTCTTTAACAATAAAACTCAATCAAAATTATTCACTTTATAATTAAATATTCATACATATTGACTGAATAAATCAAAAGAGTAAATCATTTTAATGCTACTAGTTTGTTTATTTCTTTTTGAAATTGTAAACAACTTCCAATCGATTTGTATTTAGAGAAGTGTAGATTACAAAAACCTGTACTACGTAAAAAAGATCGGGAAAATTAGTCTACGTGCTTATTTAACTTTTTTTCTTTGTGGAATAATTAATCTCTAGTACTACTTTAGTTAAAGGACAAGTATACAGAGTAACATTTCGTTCCGTTTTACTTTACGGCTGGGAAACGTGACTATTAAGGGTAGAGGATACTCGTAAGTTACTAGTATTTGATCACAGATATTTTGAAAATACTGCCAAAATCTGCTGGGTAAGTAATAGTGGAATTGAACACAGGGTATTAGGGAATGATGATAAACCAGTTGATGAGGTTGTGAATCTTTATTGATTGAGATGGTCGAGCCACATATTACGCATGCCCAATCACAAACTACCACGGCACGCAATGATGGCTAGTGTTGGAAACGGATGGAAGAAAGATAGAAGAGGCCAAACCAAAACGTGGTATCAATTCATAAAGTCACTAACTTCCAATCTGAGCCATGTTGGTAGATGCAGACTACTTGCTTAGAGTCCTCGCGACTATCGTAACCAATGATTGGAGACTCTGCGTGACAGCTTAGAATCGATCACAAGGGTGTAGGTGTATAAACTATTTGTCTTCCTTTAAATCATGAGATTAAAATTACTTGATACCTTTTTTTATATGAACTAATTCTTTCACCCTGTATCACATCCTTATATGAAATGTTTTTTTACTACCATTGAAGTAACTGCTTCTATGAATTTGGTGTTCCTCTTGTTGTGTGGCAACTTGGACCGATGCATATATGTGCCTGGTCCTAAGTCGTAGATGACTGACTGAGTACTTCTTCAACCTTATGCACAAAATTTTATGATTTTTGAGAGAGCAAGCGATGTAAAATTCACTTTTTCATATTTGTAAAACGTTCTGCAAGAATCAGATATACATGCTATTCCATAGTGTTTATTAACAATAATCTACAGGATGGGCTTGTACTGTTCAGGCTGCATAAAGCCTGGATGATGTCTAATTCCACAGAAAATTAATGTAAAACTCATCCGTTCCTGGATATATATTTAAGTGTGAAGTGAAGTGGTAGATCAGTAGTTAAGCCGTTCAACTTTTTTTCTTACCAAGATGTGGGTTCACAACTCACTACACTTACCTCAATTTTGCTAACCGGGTAGTTATTACTAACTCTTACATTTATAATACTAAAGTATGGTTCAAAGTCAAGTACACAAATTTTTACCTATTAAGTGAGTGTTTCTGTCTTTTTTTTTAACTCAATGTGTATTGGTTTGGATTATCCTGTTGTTGATATTTTGAATGAAAATTGATCAGTCTTGGTCGGTACACGTGTACCCTGTGAGGATTGCTTCCATAATAGAGCTACTATGCAGAATATGAACTTGCATCGTAACAGGATATACATATGCATATATGTTCTTGGTCCTAAGTGGTAGCTGACTGACCGACTTCATCCTTCCAAACCTTATTCTCAGTATTCCGTCTTTCTCATTATCATAGTTGCTACATTATTTCTACTCCTTTGTTATTCATCTTATCATCCTGAAGTGGTATGCTTAATATATATTTGTGCCAGACTGTGCGT